CTGGCCTGCGGGAATTTTGCGCAACGGTCCCGCCAATCGCGGCAACCACCTTCGCGATAGCGCGGAAGCTGGCAGTGCCTGCCGGCCTGGTCGCTCGCGGTAGGACAGACTGATTGCGGCAGCAGGCCCTTTCCAGGCCGAGAAGCGCTGCCACAATATTGCACTGCTGTGGACATTCCTGCGCTGTTGATCACCCTGGCGTTGCGCTGGGGCGAGCGTTGGCGCAGGCAAGTTCACCCGCGGCTGGCTTCCAGACTGCGGCGATTTCTGACTGGGTGTGTCTACTAACAACATGGTTTTGCCTTCAGTACACTTATTATCTAAATTCACATCACTGACACTTACTTTCATTGCAAAATGTCCATCTGTTGCTGTGGCAACAGTGGCATCTTCATCCATCCGTGTACTAGGGGCACCATACATTTTCCTTAGTTTCCAACATTCTTTGACATCAAGGTTGTTCATCTTGCAGTAGTTGAATTTTTTTGCTGAGCAAGGTTAATGTAATCAAAATTTTTTGTTGGTAATTGATTTTTTGGTTAACTGGAGCCTTTGCTAATAATGGTTCTACTGTAAATGCGTTCTAGGGGTGTCTCCTATTCCCCCGGAGGGTGTACCTTATTAACTAACTATGCTACATTGATAATAAAAATGTTGAACTTAATGCCACTATTTTAAGTTTGTGCAATATTTTGATTAGTTAAGCTGCCACAAGTTACAACACAACTACGAAATGTGTGACGACTGTCCCAATTTATCCCGCAATTCCCTTATTACCCTGATTGATGGTGTAGCCAGGTGGTTATTTCAGTATTTTTTGTTGCAAACCAAATCTGTTATTCATTTGTTTGCTCAGTGTATATGTTCCAATTCAATACCAAACATTTCCCTTTATTTTTTCCGGCACGGGGAAAAATTCCAATAATATTATTCATGCATTTGCTTGATCAGTGACATTGTAACTAATAGAAGCAGGCAGATTGATGTCCAATGCTCTGACGACTGCAATTGCCTTGGTGAGTGCTTGTTAGAACCCATATCGTATAAAGCTTTTAAAACCAGGTATGTTAGTGTTCATTCAGCTTAATAATTGATTTACTTCATTCTTGCTTATGTTTATACTTTGCACATGCATTTATCCGCTTTCTTGCAATGCTTGCTTTTAATCTAAAGAACGTAAATTGCACAATAGTGAGTTCTTTGTATGATTGTAGTTCAATTGCTTTACTATTTCAATCCTCTAATTTTAATGCTTGCTATTTTATTACATGAATACCAAACTGTTCTCAATTTATGTGTTTCTCCCAATAAGTTGCCGTTTTTACCATAGTTGCAATAGTGTCCATTTACCTTGTCTACTTTAATCTCTTGAACTACTCTCTTGTGTTTGCCTGATCAATTGCATTTTAACTAAGCCAAAACTACCACTTGCTGCTTGATTGTTTTGTCAATGCTAAGGATTTCAGGTTTTGATTAACTGCTGTGAGTGAGATTCTTTTATTTGACTTTACCTTTATTGATGATATGTTTTGGCTTTTCAGCTCAAATACCTCACTCATGCTCTCAATGTCAGGTTACATTTCATTCCATTCGCAACTGCATCTGTAATCACTGCCCCATACTTTAACAATACATCCATATCCAGAAGAAAACTTTCATTCACCTAAATTGTTGCCAGAGACTAAAGAACCTGACATAAGCATTCCATAGCGCCGGCAACAATGGTTCTTGATATTAGATGAAAATAATGCATGAAATATGCTTTTTCTACTTATTTATTCTTGTGCTAATGTGAATTGTACTTATCAAATTATTCAAAGTATATTATATGGGTTTTATCTATTTTATATATAAGTATATTATATGGGTTTTATCTATTTTATAAGTATATTATATTGATTTTATATTGATGTCAAAAATCTTGTGATTTTTTTACTTTTCACTTCTACTTCATGACGTGAAATGAACATTATTACCAGCAAATTGCAGGTAATTTTCCAAACATCACAGGCCGTAATTTTTGGCAAATTATGCAGAATATTCCAGAATCCACAAGTAGTGGTGTTCCCGTGTCAACCACGGGGGGATTAACTCTTAACCCACTTAAGTGAGGCTGAATTGGTATAATAATGGTGTAAGTAAAGAGTTGCCAAAATAGTTATGTTTTCTTAGGGGATTTTAAAATACAACTGACATGCCGATAAATGTACATTGAGACAATATTGCTTATAGTGCTTTAGGACTATTGTGATATAGTATTTGGTAACTAGTGATATGGAATAGGGAGCAAAGGACGGGCAATGGTGCAAAAGGTCCTCAGACAGCTGAAAGCTATAAAAATTACAAATGAAATATACTGCGCATAATGTAACTATGATGCGAAGCAGGTTACAATCTATCATGCCTAAATTTAGAGATTAACTTGAAGCAATCATGCTATAACTGAATAATGAACAAACATTTAGTAAATTAAGGATTGATAATTAAATTTAGTCTAGTAAGTAAGATTGCAAGAGTTATTGGTGCAAAAATTATAATTAATAAAAACACCTAAAGCAAACAACATTGGAAGTAGATTTGGTGCAATAATGCAAGTGAAATTATATAGGCAAAACAAGGACCTCATCACCATCATGTCTGTGAACACTTGAAACAAAGTTTCCTAGATTATGGTAGGGTTGTGCTCTCGTAATGCAGATAAATAATGCAATGGTTAAAAGAGATGTAGTAAGTGCAGTATTAAGGAAGACATACATATATCTACATTATCGGGAAGAGCTTCGCTCACCCAACAGTATTGCAGAGTTATCTTGATACCTTGGGTTGTATTGGCAGCATTTTAATTATTAGCTTGAATTTCACTTTTTTGGAATTTAATTATTACATCTCTTCTGAAACGATATGAAACATAAGGATGCATTGAGTGTGAAAATTGGTTAATGACACAGATCGGTTGAGTGGAGAAAAAGCAATAATGCCTTCCAGCAACAGGGGCCACTAGCAAACAAGAGATTTTCTGGAAACCAGTTCATTTTAATTTCCTGATTTACTTCAAAATTATCTTGAATAGAAATTAATGATGCTGGTATCCATGTTACTTAACTAATCTACTCATAGGACTCAAGCAGGGAGGGCAACTAAACAGCCTCTTGTTTGCTGTTATGCTTTAATAGCTTTAATATGCTCTACTGGTGTTGCCTAACTTTTAATAATTATTTGTGTGACTGCAGCTTAGCTTATATTTACTCACTTCTGCTCTTCTCATTCCAGACTCATAATTATAAATGATGTTAGTTTAGTCTTGTGAGAGGATTAAAATTCTTACAATAGCTCCTTTTGATCCTGTGGAGAAGTAGTTACTTGCCTGGCTTAGCTCCATAATGGGTAAGTAAAGAATGGTCTGAGCAACCTAAACTTTATTGCAATTCAACTTCTCTATTTTATCATAATATAATTCTGCTTTGGATATGTGGTCATGAACATACATAGTGATAAATTTCAAACAAACTTTCAAGTGAAAATCATGTTATTTGTTTTAAAAAAATGCCTAATAGCAAGTAAATAGTAAATGCTCTTTGTCTCAGCAGATTCTTGGCAGCAGATATCACAGCTGCAACAAGTAATGCAACAGCCTCTCCAGATAATACAACAACAGAGGCTGCAGCTGCAGCAGCTCGAACAAGAACTGCCACAACAAACGCTGCTGCAGTTACAACAGATGCAGCAGCAACTACAAGAGATGCAGCAGCTAAAACAAAAACTTCTACAACAAGAGCTGCAGCAACTAGAACAAAAACTGGACCAACGAGAGCTGCAGCCGTTGCAACAATTGCAGAAGCAACAACTAGAGTACAAGCTGTTACAAAAGTTCAAGCAGGAAGAAGAGCTGCAGCAGCTAGAAGACAAATTGCAACAAATAATGCTGCAGCAAATACAACAGATGCAGCAGCAACAACAAGAGATGCAGCAGCTACAACAAATACTGCATCAAAAAATGCTGGTGAATTCACAACAACAGGAGCAAATACAACAGGAATTCCAAGACCGTTCTCGTTATCGTCAAGTAAGAAGAAGCAGATTCATCAATATCTTTATTTTGGCTACATATACTGTAGAAGGTCATTCCAGTCTCTGCCTTCACATTTGAGCAATATTTGATTTCCCTGAGCCATTCTAGTCACTTTTTCTGCGCTAGGGACACAACTGCCACTTCATAGTAAATATTCTTGTGTGACATTTATGTTCATTGGTTATGTTATTCAGATAACATATTATGTTTGGACAAATGTCTCCAGATTATGTCATCCACATAAAAAATTTTTGTTGCAGGCGATGCAGTCAAGTGCCGTGCAGCAACAGAACTGGCGAGACAACAGCCCCTATCCCAAAGAAAGGTGAGATGAATTCTTCAATAGGGATTACTCCATGAATTGAAAAAATTCAGAACTAAGAGAAAATGTGCCCAAAAGTTCACATTGTCTGAAACCTACTACTGCTCCGTGAGGCAGCTTCACGTCACACATTTATTCTCTTCAACTTGGAAGACAATTGTTGACCCAAAACTCATTCATAATATAATCCAGAATGGTAAAATTGTATCAAGAAAATGCTCTCTGATGATATTGAAATGATATGTTCCAGGTATCATTTAGTCATTAATGTCATTTACATTAAGGCCATACCATGAGAATCAACAGTAAGGCCATACCATCAGAATTTACATTAAGGCCCTTAATACGTACAGCCCGTATTAAGGGCTGTACCATCAGAAATTTTAATGAGCTCCTAACTCTGTCAGCCAACCACTGATGGCTTTTCAAACTAAACCCATCTATAAAAATAAATTGCTGCTGTGTGCACCTAGGCTTCTACATGTACTTAAGATGCTACACGTACTAAGGGCGTTACGTGTAGTTAGGCCGATACATATACTTGAGCCGCTACATGTACTTGAACCACTATGTATACTTGAACCACTATGTATACTTGAACCACTAT